TACTGCTAAGACTAACTCCAGCATCTCTGATTATGGAAAAACCTATTTTACAAGTCACAATCAAATGTTACAAAATGGTCAAGGGGTTATGAACCTAGACATTTCAATGAGATTCTGTCTGTGGCGTGTTAAAATGTCTGTACATTACAAAATGTTGTAATGACTGGTTGATAGCCTTAGGAGGTGACAGCCCGTTGGCTGCCAGCCTGACCCTGCCATCCGTGCCGAGGTAAACAGGTGCGTCTCTCATCACTTTACACCCCCTCAGCTGTATATCTCCGACAGCATGAATATGGAAGAAAAAATAAAAATCTTAAATCACAGTTCATATCTCACAAGCTCTTCTCGTCACCCCATTCATCCAGAGCTCTAAGGCATTAACTCTCTAATGGTCTGCTCACCTTTTCCTTAATTCTGGCATCCGTCCAGATGTTTTATTGTTTTAGTCATTATGTAGGCCAATAGTAGTAAATATTACCAAAAAAGACTTGACAGCCTAATAAGAGCATGACCATTCAGGGAAAAGGCCTACAGTATTAGCCTTTTTATAAGAAGTTTTCCATTTATGTAATCCCTATTCTGCATTCTCTTGTACTTTGTATAACTTTACCTGACTTTCTGTTGTCCAAATGTCAAAAGGTGCATTATGAACAATACTGGCAGGGGGAAAAATTCCTTGGGCCTTGACGGCTTCGATTGGCTGATAGTTTTGTCTCACATTACAGTGTTGAACCATCGGGCCCATCCACGTGTCAGGGAAGGGAAATGGAAGATCAAGGGCAGACGAGAGTGGCGTGTTTACATTCTTCTCTGATGTTCCACCCTCCACATCTCTCATCCAGCTCTGCGAATCAATAAAGGATGGATGAAATGGAGGAGGAGATCCAGTTCACATAACCCTTCAGCAGGGTGAACAAGCTTTGTGAGCTTTATCTTGTCAGCAGGCTTGCAGATTTTTCTACTGTTGGGGAATTACAATGAATCACTCAACTCAATTTGGAAATATGGAAAGAAAGACCTAGAGATAGATACTTCCGCTTATGTGATATTTTGTGCAATATCATATACTTTGATATATTAGCTTACACTTGTCCATAGTTTACGCAGACATTTATAAAGGAAGTTACTGTAACACGCTGGAATCACAACAAAAGAATTTAAAATAATAATAATTATGATGCTACGAATTAAGATATTTTTGATTAAATATGAGAGCTTTGTGATCCTCCATAGACAGCAATGTAACTGAAATGTTCCCAGACCCAGAAACTTAGCAAGGACATCGGTAAAATGTGACATCAGTGACTCAACTTCAATTTTGCAAAGCTACTAGAATACTTTTTGTGTGCAAAGAAAACCAAAATAACAGATTAAAAAAAATAATGCTGATTACATTGATTACGCTCAGGGGAAAGCGCACGCATGCGTCGTGATACTCTCCAAAATGGTGGAAGACGGTAACATGGGGAGAAAAATTGTTGAATAAAAATTTATATTTTTGTTTTCTTTGCGCACAAAAAGTATTCTCGTGGGGAACAACATGAGGGTGAGTAATTAATAACAGAATTTTCATTTTTTGGGGTGAACTATCCCTTAAATGGTTCAATGAATTATACTTTTAGTAGCCTTCTTTCAAAGAATAAATGTTTGGTGGAGATAAAACAAACAAAAGCAAATGCAATTCAATTGTTACATGATAAGACCATTTAATAGATCAGTCAGTGAGCCTATAAAAGTTTCACAGTCTGTCAAAGCTGCATAACTAGGGGAGAGCGGGGCACAAAGTAACACTTTTTGACTTTTTCAAATTGTGTAAATCCACATGGGGTTCAGAGTATAATTTTTTTTTATCCACAGTAATTTCACACTTGTCTAGTACAAATATGTCGCTTTGTTTCATAATTACAGTGTATACGCTTTTCTTTATTTACCCTCAAAAAATGGAAGTGAAATGTGACAACATGCCCCGTAGGTGGGGCTTTCCCGCTGACAGGAGATGCATGGTGTAAATCCAGTATAGCCTAGTAAAGTCACTTTTGCCGTTCAGCAGAGCAAGATACATAGAAAAATTGAGCCGTATTGTCTGTACAGTATCTGTGACTTTACAAACGAACCAACGGAATGGGCAGAGGTGTCAATTCCGGGCATTCGATATTTGCAAATCTAGGGACCGTCTCTAAAGTTACATACGACATTGGTATACACTTTTCTAACTTCAATAGCATTTGAGGAAAAATACTTACAGTAACACAACCAACTGTGAAGTGGTCATGTAGTTCTCGGTTATAATGCACACCTTTTAGATTTTTGATATTTGTATTTACTAAAAACTAAATAAAACAACGGACATTTGTGTTTGTCATCCTGTCATTAATTATTGTCATTATTGTTTTTTTTTTCGCTTTAGATGTGGTATATTTAAAGGACAGTCCATACATTTTATACTTATGTACAGTACACAAAAAATACTTTAAATCATATGTAAATATTGCTATTTTTTTCTTTACGAATATGGGCTCAAGCACAAAATATGCCATAATTTAAAGCTCAATAGCATTTGAGGAGAATGACTCACAGTCATAAAACCAACTGTAAAGTGTTCATGTAGGTGTCAGCTATAATGCACACCTTTTAGATTTTTGATAGTTATTAAAATAAACGGTAAATTCATTGTAAAAAAACTTCCTGTAGAAATCACAGTAACTAACTGGCAGCAGTTCACTCGTAACTTACTGTAATTTTACCAGAGGTTATATAAGCTGCGGTCCATCGCACAGCCGCACTCCCTTTTGACTGAGCGGACATCGCTTGGGAGAGCTGTTCTGAGGTAAAGTATTTTTTGTGTACTGTACATAAGTATAAAATGTATGGACTGTCCTTTAAATATACCACATCTAAAGCGAAAAAAAAAACAATAATGACAATAATTAATGACAGGATGACAAACACAAATGTCCGTTGTTTTATTTAGTTTTTAGTAAATACAAATATCAAAAATCTAAAAGGTGTGTATTATAACCGAGAACTACATGACCACTTCACAGTTGGTTGTGTTACTGTAAGTAATTTTCCTCAAATGCTATTGAAGTTAGAAAAGTATAAACCAATGTCGTATGTAACTTTAGAGACGGTTTGCGAATATCGAATGCCCAGAAACGACACTGGCCATTCCGTTGGGTTGTTTGTAAAGTCACAGATACTGTACAGACAATACGGCTCAATTTTTCTATGTATCTTGCTCTGTTGAACGGCAAAAGTGACTTTACTAGGCTATACTGGATTTACACCATGCA